ATATATACATATGCATATTTGTATATTTGGAGCTTACAATCGAAGGTTACAACTTTCATTCATTCATTCATACATACATACATGCATACTAGGGCCAATTTAGTCACTGTTCACACTGCTGTGATTTAAAAATCACGTGATTTGAGGGCAATTTCATGTGCGATTTCTGAAGTCTTGATACTGTGAAGATTTTCAATGATTTGTTGCAATTTTCATTCTATTCTATGCATGTGAAATCGCAACAAAAATGCAGCAAAAGTAATGCAAGAACTACTTTAGAAATCGTGCTGCAGCAAATTGCACATTAAAACACTGACATTCACGTTCATTAGATGCAATTTCAGGTGCGTTTTTAATTTGCAAATCGCACTGATATGACCGGGCACTTGGACAAGAGCCAATTAACCTACCATCAGTATACATGTATGTGTGTGTGTGTGTGTGTGTGTGTGTGTGTGTGTGTGTGTGTGTATATATACACACATACACAAACTGGATATAAAGTGTCTACACAGCCCTGTTAATATGTCAGGTTTCTGTGATGTAAAAAAAATGAGACAACGATAAATCAATTCAGAACTTTTTCCACCTTTTTAATGTGACCTATAAACTGTACAACTCAATTGAAAAACAAACTGGAATTTTTTAGGGGAGGAAGTAAACCTAAAAAACTAATAATGTGGTTGCATAAGTGTGCACACCCTCTTATAGCCAGGGATGTAGCTGTGTTCAGAATTATGCATTCACATTCAAAATCATGTTAAATAGGAGTCAGTACACACCTGCCATAATTTAAAGTGCCTCTGATTAACCCCAATTAAGTTCAGCTGTTCTAGTAGGTTTTTCCAGACATTTTCTTAGTTGCATCCTACAGCAAAAGCCATGGTCCACAGAGAGCTTCCAAAGCATCAGAGGAACCTAATTGTTAAAAGGTATCGGTCAGGAGAAGGGCACAAAAGAATTTCCAAGGCATTAGATATACCATGGAACACAGTGAAGACAGTCATCATCAAATGGAAAAAATATGGCGCAACAGTGACATTACCAAAAACTGGACTTCCCTTCAAAATTTATGAAAAGATGAGATGAAAACTGGTCTGGAAGGCTGCCAAGAGACCTTCAGCAACATTAATGGAGCTGCAGGAATATCTGGCAAGTACTGGCTGTGTGGTATATGTGACAACAATCTCCCTAATTCTTCATATGTCTGGGCTATGGGGTAGAGTGGCAAGACGGAAGCTTTTTCTTATGAAGAAAAACATCCAAACCCGGGTAAACACATCTAAAGTCTCCCAAAAGCATGTGGGAAAATGTGTTATGGTCTGATGAAACCAAGGTTGACCTTTTTGGCCATAATTCCAAAAGATGTTTGGTGCAAAAACAACACTGCACATCACCAAAAGAACACCATACCCACAGTGAAGCATGGTGGTGGCAGCATCGTGCTTTGGGGCTGTTTTTCTTCAGCTGGAACTGGGGCCTTAGTCAAGTTAGAGGGAATTATGAACTGTTCCAAATACCAGTCAATATTGGCACAAAACCTTCAGGCTTCTGCTAGAAAGCTAACCAGAAGAAGATTAAAGTTTTGGAATGGCCCACCCACAGAGCCCAGACCTGAATCCCATCGAAAATCTGTGTGGTGCTCTGAAGAGGACTGTGCACAGGAGATGTCCTAGCAATCTGACAGATTTGGAATGTTTTTGCAAGGAAGAGTGGGCAAATATTGCCAAGTCAAGATGTGCCTTGCTGATAGACTCATACCCAAAAAGACTGAGTGCTGTAATAAAATCAAAAGGTGCTTCAACAAAGTATTAGTTTAAGGGTGTGCACACTTATGCAACCATATTATTTTAGTTTTTTTTTATTTTTACTTCCCTCCACCTAAAAGATTTCAGTGTGTTGTTCAATTGAGTTGTACAGTTTATAGGTTACATTAAAGGTGGAAAAGGTTCTGAAATTATTCATCTTTGCCATTTTTTTACATCACAGAAACCTGACCTTTTAAGAGGGGTGTGTAGACTTTTTATATCCACTGTGTGTGTGTGTATGTGTGTGTGTGTATGTATATATGTTTGTGTGTGTAATATATGTATATGTATAAGTTTTTTTTTTTTACAGTGTTACTTTGTGGTCATCCCATGCATTCTTTTACAATGCAAAATTGTTTTTAAAAACCATATCACTGATACAGGAAGCATGTTAGCTAGTGGAACCTCCTTTATTGGCCAAACCATAAGGTTTGCTGCAGCTGCTGATCAGATCTGGAGAGCAGTTAGGAGGTATTTTGGCCTTAAGTTTACACAAAACTGTTTAGTTTGTGTATATTTTTACATTAACAGCCTGGCTTATATTGCTTAACAGCATTTTGGTTGGAAATACCTTGGCTGACTGACTTGGCCATTATAAAATACAGCATTTCTTTTGTTTAAGTCACTCTTCTGTTGATTTCTGTTGATTTATTTCTTTATAAATGGCTATTTTGCTGAATTTCTCTCTACAACTTAAAATTAGCTGGTCTAGTCAAGGCCTCAACCTATCCTGGCCTTGGTAAAGCAGTTCCCTTACGTCTAATTTCCACCCACCAGGTTTCACAGTTGGGATGAGATTTTAACCGGTTCGCCCCGGCCTATGGCCGAATGGCGGCTGTCAAAAACCCTCATCCCTCCGAATGGAAGGCATATGGCGTCCTTTCAGGCATGCGCAGTTTGCATGCCAGCAGAGCCGCGCAGCGGCGCGATCTCTCACCAGCCGTGTACCTCGGACACGGCTGGTGACAGATCTGAGTACCGGCCCCGTTGCCAGTACCTTGTAACCAATCACAGCAGGTCACATGACAGTTGTATACAATGGATGGCTTCCTATGATGCCATCCATTGTATACAAGTGTGTCTAGCTGTGAATGGTAACAGCGATCACATGCACAAGCTGGGCCAAGCACAGCCCTGTGTCATGTGATTAGCTGTGGCTAAATCACAGTTAAGAAAAAAAAGTCCTGAATGAATCGATTTCATTCAGGTAAATGCTTGCTTATAGCAAAGGAATTCTTTGCTATAAGCAAATTTGTGTAAAAAAAAATATAATATATATATATATATATATATATATATATATATATAGATCACTTCCCCAAAGTAGTACAATGTTACTATGGTAACATTATACTACTTTGGTCATAGTGAAATATGAAAAAAAAAAATCTTACAAAGAGACAAAATTTAATAAAAAAAAATATTTTTTTTTTTTTTTGTACTGTCACCAGTCAGTGTCCCTGATCACCGCCATGCCAGTTATATGATGACGCTGTACTGCACTGGTGACAGTATGTAAAAAAAAAAAATTGTGAAAATTTTTTTATTCATTTCCGAAAAATGACAAAAAAATTACAACTTCAAAAAACTCGCCATGCCTCTTATGAAATACGTCGGACTGTCTACTTTGCAAAGAGGGGTCATTTGGGGGATATCTGTACTGTTCTGACATTCTTGGACTTCAAGAAATTAGATTGGCTGTCAGTACTTCAGGATTGATCAATATTCAGATCTATACCATAGTTTGTGAACTCTATAACTTTCCTACAAACTAAATAATACATCCTAATTTGGGTTATTTTCACCAAAGACGTAGTAGAATATATTTTGACCTAAATTTATGAAGAACAATTATTTATTTGCAAACTTTTATAACAGAAACAAAGAAAAACGTGTTTTGTTTTTTGTTCAAAATTTTCGGTCTTTTTTTGTTAATTTAGTAAAAAATAACCCCGGTGTTGATTAAATACCACCAAATGAAAGCTCTAGTTGTGTGAAGAAAATTATAAAGTTTTAGTTTGGGTACAATGTTGTATGACCGCGCAATTGTCATTCAAAGTGTGAGAGCGCTGAAACCTGAAAAATGGTCTGGGCAGGAAGGTGTAAAAGTGCCCGGTATGGAAGTGGTTAATACCAGCATGAAAAACCTTCATAAGCACTTTTCACATTTACAAGCGTCTTCAAATTCTAAAGCACATCTGTTGCGTTTTTTTGCCTTTTGATAGAACCAAAGTTGTGTGTGCGTTTTTTTTTTTTTTGTTTTTTTTTTGTTTTTTTTTATATTACTGTATAACTGAACAGGACAATTTGCACCTAAGTTGATAAGAACAGCGGATTTACTGATTTGTAATACCTGATTTTAGCTAATCTTGTAAGGTGTGATTCCAGAGTTTCACACACTTTTCTATCAGTGACCTTTAGGCTGGGTTCCCACTAATGCGGTGCAGAATTTGCAGAATCGCACCCGTTCATGTGAACCACTGCGGGTGTGTATGTTAACACCCTGAAATCGGTCCACAAAACTTGGTGCGATGTGCAGAATCGGATTGCATGGGTGTGAATACCCATGCGATCTGATTCCAGTGTGGACCAATAAAAGGGTCCTGCACTTTCTTGGTGCTGGTACAGTGTGATTTGAGCCATACAAAATGTATGGCTTCAATCGCACCGCACACAAATCGCATGTGATTTGCACAGGAATTTGATGCAGTTTCTATGCGTATCACATGCGATATACTGCACCGCATATATGTGAACCCAGCCTTAACATGTTTCAACTTGGTGGTTGTATGTGTGTGAGAACCATCACCAACAGATGTATGGGTTATTTTTCCCATTGATACGGCTTTTAGACATTTTCTCTCTTTTTTTTTTTTTTTATTTTTTTTAGGTTTCTTACAGTGTGTATATTGAAAATTTGTGTATGATATATTAAGATTCCTGCTTGTAAATTCATTTGTATCTTTTCCTTTTTTTAGTGTGATTTAAATTTATTAAACAATCAGGGTAGAAATATGAGAACTTCTATGGCAATCTAAAGGTCAGAGGTCATCTGACATTTCAGTCTTTCAACTGAGCCCAGATACTGTGTTCCATCTTTTAAGTGGGCACAGTGTGAACCCAGACAGTTGAATAAGCAACACTCAGACTTCAAGTGACCTATGACCCCAAGCAGGGGCAGACTGACAACTCATGGGGCCCCCGGGCAATAGGAGATCATGGGGCCCCTGTGTCCTTGCCCAAACTCAAAAAAGCCTATGAAAAAGGTACCAGGGGCATCTCATGGGGCCCCCTACTGACCCCTGGCCCTCGGGCAGTGCCCGAGTTTCCAAATGGTCAGTCCGCCCCTGACCCCAAGACACTCCACCTGAAGTGTCAGGCCAACACAAGTTAAAGCAAGGCTAAGTAAGGATGAACAGTAATATCTTCATAAATTAGTTTTAAAACTTCAATCCTATCATTCAGATTGCTGTGTAAGCCCATTGGTAAATGGTGTTTACAGTGTTTAACTTGGGGCAATTGGGCAATTTTAGGGTTAGTTATCACCAGTGATACCATGACAAATTACATGAAGTAGGAAAAGAAAATGTCAAGCAACACAAATAGATGTCTGATTACATGCTAACTAACATATACAGTGCTGTGGTTAAAGTGGAACTGCAAGCAGGCAGCTCTTTAGAGCAGAGGAAACTTGCAAGGTCTCCTCTGCATTAACACCTAACTGCCTGCTCACACTCCACTTTTAGATGCACACTGATCTGTACATTTGTAGCTCACCATTCGTTCCTGGCACACTGCAGCTGTGTTGGATTGACGGTCCCCAATGAACATTCGTGAGATATCATTCTGCTACCAGCCAAAAACCTGAAACCCAAAAATAGGGACCTTTCCGCGAGTACTGAACGTGTGTGCTGGGAGTGCTCAGGGCGCGTGCTCTCGGCACATGTTTTTTTTTTTTTTAAATAGAACGCAAATGTGCAGCCGCTCAGCGTCTAGGCCCAGACACCGGGAGTCCGCACATTTGCATCCGGCCGGCACCAAAAGGTTAAAGCACTCAAAATGTGCTATTGTAACCACCTCTTTCAGTGAATATGGTTTGCAAACCTTGTAACTGCCACTTTCAATGGACAGTTTGACTGACTGCATGATATCATTTTAAATTTAACATTTTTTTTTTTTTTGATTGATTGGGGCATTGGTGGTGGGTGGGAGGGTCTTTTGACCCTCAATTTGACATTTGTTGGTATATAGGCCAGGGTCCAGCAGGCACATCTTAAGCTCTGAGGAAGGGACTTTTTCCCGAAACGCGTCAGCATATCCACACCAAGGGCACAGTTTTGCATCCGCTGTTGTTGCGGACCACTTTTTCTGTTTTTTATTCTCGGTTTGTGAGTATATTTTATTTCATTTAATAAATACGTGGGTCTCCACGGTAATGCACGATGAGAGTGCGCCCTTGTCTGTTTTTGTTTACCAGTATTCAGATTTCCCAGTCTTTGAACGGCAGCACCTCTTCGTCTCCATGAAGATTTGAGCGCTGGTTTCATTTGTTTGTCTATTGGACAGTTTGACTGGTTAAAGGAAGTGAAAACAAATCTGCTAGCACGATCAACACGTAATAAAACTGTTACAGAGGGACAGAAACTGTATTTTTTGTAAATTTGCTATTGGTACATTTTAATTGTGACATACCAAGGAAAAAAAATAATCCTTTTTTTTAAAACATTAATGTAACATTAAAGTATATGTGAACCCTTACCTGCTAAAACAACCCATTCCGTTTAAAAAGAAAAAACAGATGTATAAATCTAAAAAAAAAAGTATAAATATATATATTTATATATTTTTTTTTTTATATAAGTGATCACCGTAACTTCTGTCTTTGGCTGCATAAGAGGCTTAGAGAGGTGGGGGTGGAGAACACAAGAGGGCATGTCAGCAAGAGGCAGAGAAGCAGCAGTACACTGTTCTTACCAGCGAAGAGCTGTGCAAGGGACTGTGTCAGCTCAAGTCATGATCATTGGACAGGCGCAGCCTGGGCTCCTAGCATAGCCAGAAAACTGACCATGCTAGGATGGATGTGCTCTCTTGTCTTTTGTGGTCATTTTAAAATAGAAAAGCAAAGGGATCACCAGGTATTTCACGCAAAGGAAGCAACATATCAGAAATATAAAATAATTGGGTTACAAGCACTTTAAAGTAGAAATATACTCCACCTGAGCCCCACAAACCAAAAATGCTATTTAATTCATTTTTTCTATTTCAATGGTTTTTATTAATTTTTAAACAGTATAAAAGAGAGGCAATAAAACATGCCCACGCAGGGGCTATCAATTGCACAAATATAAAAAATGCAAAATAAAAAAAAAAAGGAAAAAACCGTGCTCTAATGCCAACAGGGCAAAAGGTACGCCCACGCAGGGGCTATCAATGACACATAAGTTACAAAACATTACTGTAACTGACTATAACTAAATGCAGCAGGCCAGTCACACCAAAACAGAGAATGAAAAAAGAAGAGGGGAAGAAAAAGAAAGAGAGAGAGAAAAAAAAAAAGAGAGGGGCAAGGGGCAGGGGTCCAAGAGCGCCAATACCGAACGCCATTACATCCCCAGACTAGCCGGGGAGAGTGTGGGAAAGGCATATTGCAACCACGGCTCCCATATTTTCAAAAATGTATGTTGGGAGTCGTTGCGGATACTCGACATCTGTTCGTTGAGCATCATAGTGGTCATACGATCCCGCACCCCCTGAAGAGGGACAACCGGACTCTTCCAGGCCTGAGCAATTGTTCTAGTGGCCGATAAAAACAGATAGGAAGCCAACTTCTGCTGATGAGCCAAGAGGATTTAATTCATTTTTAATATACAAAGCAAGATGAGGGCAGATGATTCGTGTAGAATTTACTTCCTGGAATCCATCTGCCCTTAACTCAGGCATGCATGCAGTAGGGTTTTCTTGGCTGAGAAAATCACTCCTCCCCTGAAGACTTGGGATGTATGGCATAATTTGTATAGGCCTGGAAACCAGAAAGTAACTGAAGAAATGTGAAAAATAAAAGTTTAAAACAAGTAAATGATATGCTTTCCTAGCTATTTACTAATGCTAGCAGTATAAGGTTTAAAAACAGTCAATCTTGATTGGGAGACTGAAGCTCTGCTTTAAGATGAGATCTAGTTTGGTTTGTGCAGAAAGAATTAGCATGACATTATTTTTATAGCTTTGCAATTTGTTAAAATTTTGAATGGTATTACACTTACTCATGCAGGTGTTTGAGGTTTACAAAGTAAAGTGTCATAGAGAACATCCTATGTATTTGTTGGAACCTCTTGATGTAGAATGTTGTTTTCATCAGTCAGTCATAGTGCTTCTCTTCATTTACAGTGCCCTTCTATCTGTCACTGGGCCCTCACCAAGCCATCAGTCACCCTGTGTCACAACAACCCTTCTGTAGCAGCTGTCCCTTGCCACCATCACTCATAGCAGCCCCTTCTCCACTCAGTTACATCTGTCCCTGCTCTGAGTCAGTGCTCCTTCCATTAGTCAGAAATCCTTCTAGTGCCTCCTCCCATCACTTAAAAATCAAAGTGTACCTCTCCATTCTTGGTTTTTATTTACATGCTGCACCAGCCCACCTGAAGCACACTGCACTGCTCTTATACATCAGTAGCTTACTTTACCAATTCTGTAAAAGAAGGCGGAGTCGGATGCAGCTCTATTGGCTAAATGGAGTGCCTACTGCTGATTGACTAAGGCACGCCTGGTTACCACTCTACCGAACTCACTGAGATGCTGCTGCCATATTAGGGGCGATATTCCCTGGTGCCCAGGAAGTGACAAGCCACATGTTGGGCTCTAAGGTTTTAGAATGACTGCATCATATGTTTTTTTTTTTGTGCCTACATTTGCACTTTAACCTTTTTGCTAATTTTATTTATAGGCTAATATGGAAGAACAATCAAGCTCATTTTCTTCCCTTGTTTTTTTAACATGACACTAAACAATAGTTTAAAGCTAAAATATGAAGAATATTTTCAGGCGTTATTTTTGGCTCCCATTAAGCCTCACTATGCTCTGGCTAACCAGGAGCACAGCAACTTTGGTTGTAAGGATTCCAATTGAGTTGGAATTCCTTTGAAGCTTTTACATTGATTTGCAGGAAGTTTCTTCATTCATCTGAATTCATAGTGAGATTAGAGAAAAAAATGATCAACGTAATGTCTTTTTTTTTATTTTACAGTGTTTATGCTGGTTAAGTTCACCAAGCTATTAATGTGGTATTTTTTTAATGTGCTGTATGAAGATACATTGAGGAGTAGCACATGCTTTGTAAAGGCTTATAAGACAGTCAGATGAGTTGTTCTTAGGAAAGAAAAAGTTCTTTGTTGATCGTAAATGTGAAAATTATTGCCAAAAGAAGCAGTCTTGATGTGGCTTCCCTCAACTGGGATTTCTCCTACAAGTAATCCTGTTGTACATATAACATATTCCATAACCATCATTTCCAGAAAATCTTTCTACAGCCTCACTTTTCTCGGAAGTTCCCGGATCTTTACCCACTGAAACTAGCAATATTGTGACAGTTGTGCATTTACATCCCTATATTGCACATACTAACATGTCCACAGTTTAAGATTTTATTTAGAGAAAAAAAAACTAAATTTAACAAAACATTACTTATTTTAATAGAAAATAATACCACACTCCATAAAACTCCTTACATAAGTTTATTGAAGATGACACATCCACCCAGATGAGCTCCTGTGTTATAGGGAAGGGAACAGACAAGTGGATGTGACTTTTATCTTCAATAAATCTATGTGAGGACTTTTTTCAGACTGCGGTGTGAACCTCCTTTCTATTGGATATGTCAGTTGGTGGGGACATCGTAGTGGCACCCACAGTGAAGAGGCATTTGTTTTAGCAGAGGCCTAAAGTGGAACACTTTGAACTATTACCTATTTTAATATGCATATCCATGTGTAACATTTGACAATAGCTGATATTTCTTGGTATGGTGTTATTTCACTTGATGGTGCAAAATTATTTGGTTGACCTGTTAGGGATATATATTTCCGCAGATGCAGATTCTATAACTCAGAGGTTAAATTGTTGGAAAGTAATGTAATTGTGACCAGTTCTCTCCTTTTTTCTCTCTGAAAAATCTTAAGCTAGCCCTTACTTTGTTTAAAGATCTAGGTTTGCAGACAGGTGTCCTGAGATATACAACTGTGGACAAATTTGTCCTTCCATGAAAAAAAGGATA